AGTAAATCGTGCGCACAATTTATAAATCGAGGGAACTAAATAGTAAATCGTGCCACAATTTATTAATCGAGGGAACGAAATAGTAAATCGTGCGCACAATTTATAAATCGAGGGAACTAAATAGTAAATCGTGCCACAATTTATTAATCGAGGGAACGAAATAGTAAATCGTGCACACGATTTAACCTACTATTTTTTTCCTGCATGCCATGTACGGGGCTCCGTAGAAAAGGAAAACATCATCACAGACTCTTTTTCTTTCTCTCTGTGTGTAGCTGGGAGCAAACGGATACATCTTTGCCATCGACCCAAATGGATACGTGCTGATGCATCCGAACCTGCAGCCTCGAGTGAGACTCTGATTCTTCATCTGCTCCATCAGAAATCACAGCACAATCACACTCATTTGTGTTTTTATGATTTATTTGTCATGGAAATAATGCCACAACGGTCCATTTTTGTATTTCGTATTATTTTGGGGATGCAATATGACCCAGATGTGTTCAGGACGGGTTTTGTAAGTTTCATCATGCTTATGATTGTGTGTTTGTCTCAATGTTATTTTAGTAGCATATTATATATATGTTACTATATATACTATATATATATAATTATATATAAATATATATAATTGTTGTTGTTGTTTTTTTTTCTTTTTTTTTTGAAAATGATTTTAATTGAAAATGATTGCGTGTTTGTCTCAATGTTATTTTAGTAACATATATATATATATATATATATATAATGTTTTTTTTTATTTGGTTTTGCAAGTGTGTGTGCCATTAATGTGTCAGATGAAACTAGGACATGTGTGATATCTGGGACATGACTTTCTATAAATGGCTCAAAATTACAGATTCAATCTTCAGATCTACATGTGTATGATGCCTCAAATGATGTCACTGATTGGCTGCATCCCAATTTGCATAACTGCTTTACAGACACATTATTTTACTGTTAATATTAAAGTACATACTTTTAAGTATGTTGAAAGTTAGTACTCCAGTTTTGACGTAAAACGATGTCTTAATACCACAAATGAATTTATTTGCGTGTTTGCATTAAAATTGTGGCATCTAGATAAATTTCATTGTTAAAACTCATGCGAAATACTTCATTCAAAAATTTTTAAAAATTGTTGAAAATGTACTCACCCACAGGACATCGGCGATGTAGATGAGTTCGTATCTTCATCAGAACAGATTTGGAGAAATGTAGCATTACATCACTTGCTCAGCAATGGATCCTCTGCAGTGAGTGAATGGGTGCCGTCAGAATGAGAGTCCAAACAGCTGATAAAAACATCACAATAATCCACAAGTAATCCACACCACTCCAGTCCATCAGTTAATGTCATGTGAAGTGAAAATCTGCATGTTTGTAAGAAACAAGTCCATCATTAAGATGTTTTTAAATTTAATCCATTGCTTCCAGTTAAAACATGAGTCCTCTATCCATAATATTGCTTTCTCAAGTGAGAAAGTCGTCTCATCTGAATCAGGAGAGAAATATGCACAGATCAAACACCATTTACATGCAAAAACAGTTCAAAACAGTAATAAAAGATATGTCAATGGATATGATATGAGATCAAGAGGGCAACAGGAGATGGACTTTAGCGTTATTTTGGATTATGGACTTGTATTTTGGCCGGAATTGACAGTTTAAATTTAAAAAGCCTTAATGACGGATGTCTTGCTTACAAACACGCAGCTTTTCGCTTCACAAGATGATAATTGATGTACTGGAGTCGTGTGGATTATTGTGATGTTTTTATCAGCTGTTTAGACTCTCATTCTGACGGCACCCATTCACTGCAGAGGATCCATTGCTGAGCAAAGCTACATTTCTGCAAATCTGTTCTCATGAAGAAACAAATTCTTTGGATGGTCTGAGGTTGAATACATTTTAGAAACTAAATTTTAGCACAAATAGTACAGGGATCTGTGCATTTTCTGCTACGTCCTAAGAAATGTTAAAATTTTTGCATGAAAATGTCAGATAATGAAATGTTTTCCCGCAGCGCTACATTGACGAGGTCACGCGTATGTACAGCTGGACGGCCGTTAACGATACTGATTACAGGTACGAGTCGATTCGGCTGTTCAGATCGTAAGGTTTGACGTTAAACATGCTAAACTCATGGTTTGTTTTCATGTGCCGCCCCCTGCAGTCTGGGTCTGGTACTTCCTCCGTACAGTGAATATTACATCCAGGCTGATCTCAGCGATGTCATGTTACAGCTGCAGTGTGAGTCTTTCATTTAATATGGATGAGGTTTTGTGTGATGTTTCATTCTAAATAATCTCTCCCGCGTTTCTCTCAGATTTACAGTCTCTGCTGCCGAACTCGTTTGAGTCGGCTGGTCACGTGTTTCTAGCTCCCAGGTATGCACATCCATCCATCCATCCATCCGTTATGATATTTCCTCTGGTTTGAGATATTGTGTGTTTTGTGTAGATGTATGGTCATCCACTCTCTTTCTCTCTCTGTGTATAGAGAATACTGTAAGCGTCTGCAGGTGGCTGAGAATAACACACAGTTCCTGGCGGACTTCCTGTCTCTGATGGTGGAGATCTCACCTGAATCTGAAGACTGTAAGTAACGTTCACCTCTAGACCAGAGGACGACACCATATTACCAATATTACAGGCATAATAATTCAATATTAAGTACTCGTTATTAGGGCTGTAAAAAAAAAATTTGAATTTCGAATATTCGTCGAATTTTTCACAGATAGTCATGTTATCTTATGCTTTGAATAAACGTGCATTAGTAATATTTTGCTCGATGCGCCCTCTTGTGGCTTCAGGAGAGAAGCCAAAAGCTTTTCTTCACCCTAACTGAAATTATGCATTTTAAATTTGAATATAATTCGAATTTTGATAATATTTTAGTACAAAATTCGAATTTAGTTTTTCAGACATTTTGAAAGCCCTACTTGTTATTAAATATTACAGAACTATAATAAAATATTTTTTGGGGCTCTGATGAAATATTACAGCATTTATTATGAAATGTTACAGCTCTAATTAAATATTACAGTATTGATTAAAAAATATTACAGCATGTGTTACTAAATATTATATTTCTAATAAAATATTCCAATACTGATTGATAAATATTTTAGCTTTCATTGCTCAATTTACGGTTCTACTTGATATTACAATAGTGATAAATATTTCCGCTTTCATAAATATTACAACTCTAGTTATATATTACAGTATTGATTAATAAATATTACAGCATTCATTACTAAATATTACAGCATTACACTATTGATGAATAAATATTTAAATGTTGATTATTAAGTACTACAGCTAGTAATTGAATATTACAGCATTGATCATGTGATTATTACAGCTCTAATTAAATATTTCAGCATTTATTAATAAATTTTAAAGAATTGATCACTTACTATTACAGCTTTAAGTATTAATAAATATTAAAGCATTGATTTCTCGATGTCACGATTAAATGTTAATTAAAAATAAATATAATATGCAGTATTGATTGTGAAATATTTGATCTCTTATAATTACATATTACAGAGCTGATTTTTATATTATTTTTATATCACCCATAATTAAATAGCAGTATTATATTGGCAAAAAACTAATTACAGCAGGCATAATGAATTAATGAATCATCATGAACATAATAAAATGTTAATAATTTAATCATTTTATATTCTCGCCATCTGAAATGTGAAGCTGCCTCACGCAGATGAATTCAGCAAAACGTTTGTCTCCAGTCATGAATCCATCAGTGAACTGTGAGAAGCTGATGACTGAATGTTTTGTAATGGTGCTCACAGGTGATCAGGGTCTCATTCATAACCTGATCTTGGATTCTGGGATCCTGTGGAATCTCGCGACACGCGTTTGGCAGAACAAGGATCTCAACACGTAAGATCAGGCCCGTCAGAGTCTGTTGATTTACTGGATTAAGTGGATTGAGATGTTGATCAGTCTGATCTCTGCAGGTATGGCTTCCTGGCGCTGTTCGCATCTACCAATGGAGGCGTTACACGCGTTTACCCCAACATGTGAGTGACGGAGCTTCTGACTGGGCTAGTGGACACTTAATTACAATTACAATTAACTTCATCGGCATATGTGTGTGTGTGTGTGTGTTTCAGAGCTGCTGAATCATGGGACGAGGATCCCGAACCTCTGAACTCAAACTTCTACCGTCGCACTCTGGACAACAAAGGCTACATCTTCAGGGCGCCGACACGAACCTGTGAGTCCTCATCCCAAGCAAACAATAATCAAATCAGTCACTGATTAGCATCGAGTCCACTGCAAAATTCACCGACAACTATACCGAATGACATTATGTAGGATATATTTATACATTTAAAAAAAAATTTTTGAGTGAATTGTAAGTAATTGTTATGTAAATTAAGATTTGCAAATATATCTCAAATAAATGTGATTTTTATTTTGTAAAATACATTTAAAAATCAGAATCTTTGTACATTTAACTAAATTAATAGCTCTAGTTAAATACCACAGCATTAATTACTAATTATTAAGCTCTAATTAAATAGTACAATATTAATTTTAAAAAATTTGAACTTTGATTACTAAATATTACAGCTCTAATGAAATATTACAATATTGATTAAGGAATATTTCAGCTCTACTTCAATTATTGTAATATCGATTACTAACTACTACAGCACTGATTGCTCAATTATAGAGCGCTAATTAAATATCAAAATATTGATAAATAAGAATTTCAGTATTTATTACTAAATCTTACAGCATTGCTAAATATTACAGCTTTTCTTCAATTATTACTTTATTTATTACTTAATATTACAGCATTGATTACTAAATGTACAGCTGTAATTTAATACAATGGAGTATTGATTAATAAATATGATTAAATATTTCAGTATTGTTTACAAAATATTACATTTCTAACTAAATATTACAGCTGTATTTATATATTTTAGTATTGTTAATAATTATTAAAATATGTATTACTAAATATTCCAGATTAATAAATTAATACAGCTCTACTTCAATTATTGTAATATTGATTTCTAAATACTACAGCATTGATTGATCATTTTTAGAGTGCTAATTAAATATTAAAATATTGATAAATAAGAATTTCAGTATTTATTTCTAAATCTTACAGCATTCATTGCTAAATATTACATTTCTAACTAAATATTACAGCTGTATTTATATATTTTAGTATTGGTTAATAATTATTACAATATTTATTACTAAATATTCCAGATTAATAAATTAATATTACACCATGGATTAATTAATATTTCAACATAAGCACTGATTACTAAATATTACAGCCCTGTAATGAATTATCACAGAGCTGATTTTTCAATCACAGGACCCACAATGAAATAACAGTATTATATTAGCAATATCTAATCTCAGCAGCCATAATGAAATGTTTTTTTGTTGCAATCATTACATTTCATATTATATATCAGGCACCCCATATTGGTCAACCACTATTGAAAAATTCATAAAATGATGTAAAATGAAGTAGGAACATATTTTAAGAAAGTTTTTTGATCTCATGTTGACTTTATACATTAATATGTGTGATATTCAGCCCTGTATGAGAGTGTTTCACTGTTTTAATGTCTCTGATGTTTGTGTCTAGCTATGGATGATCTGTTAATCTCAGAGAACGGCACTGTGGGGATTTTGGTCACCACCGCCGTGGAGGTTGTGATCGGGGGCAAAACCATGAAGCCTGCAGGTGTGTTTCTGCAAATAGGCTGCTTTTGTCATTCGCTCTCTGATAAACCAGCAATCAAGAGGTGAAAATCACTTTAGAAACTGGTCTGTCTCTGACTGTTTTCATCTGTGTTCCTGTTTATAGTGGTCGGCGTCAAACTGGATTTGGAGGCCTGGGTCGACAAGTTCAAGATCCTCGCCAGCAACGTATCAGACAGCAGACAGGCCGCACATAAGGTACGATTGTTCGGGGAAAAAAGGAATTATGGAAGAAAAACATCATCTTGTAACATTGTGGTGAGAAATCGTATCTTCCTGTTTGTGCTGTGCAGTGCGGCCCCTCCAGATCCTGTGAGATGGACTGTGAAGTGAACAGCGATGTGAGAGAAACTGCACACACAAACTCTGCATGATAACAGAACATCGTGTCAGTTGATCTGGTCTTGAATGTAGATGTTATGTTTCAGGATTTGTTGTGTTACCTGATCGATGACGGAGGTTTCCTGGTGATGTCCAATCAGAGAGATCACTGGAAGAAGGTGGATGCTCCGATTTTTTCCAACTTTTGTTAAGTGCACAAAAAATCTTGAGATTAATCGTGATTCATGTTAATCTGCTTTCCTGAGTTTGTGTGTCCTCATGTCCGCGTCTGTCTCAGGTGGGTTTGTTCTTTGGCGAGGTCGACCCCTACCTGATGTTCGCCCTCTACAACAACTCAATCTACGCCCGTCATCAGACCTTCCAGTATCAGTCAGCCTGCGAGCCAATGGCCAGCAGCCACACGGGAGCCGCGCACAGAGGATTCTACGTGGTGAGAAACTGATATAAATGATATATGATGCAGCAGATGGAATCCATAAAGTACAGAAGTAGTTTGAGATTAAAAGTATGTTTTATTCTTTTCAGCCCTCCATTGCTGATTTTCTCAGTCTGGCCTGGTGGACGTCAGCAGCTGCGTGGTAAATATATCTACACTATGTTGCTAAAATGTTCCCTGTTGGTTGTCAGAACAACATTCAGCAGAAATGTGTAACATCTAATGTCTATGGTTTCGTAAATCAGTTCATGCCCTGATAACGTTGACTCAGATGCTCATGTAGTAATGTCACTGGTTTCTTTCAGGTCTGTTCTGCAGCAGTTCCTGTATGGACTCATCTACAGTAGCTGGTTCACCACAGGTTTGTCACATCTTCCTTAAAAACATCATCTTAACCCAGTCAAGCTGTTTTTTTCTGGTTTTATAGGCTACTCTTTAGCTGTTCATGCTGGAAGACCAGCTTTAACCAGCTGAGACCAGCTTAGGCTGGTTTAAGATGTTGTTGTTTTTTAGCAGGACCTTCCAAGACAGCATTCTAACCATAATGCAACAGTGCACAATCACACAAACAACATTAGCATGCTGCTAAACTATTGAGCCAATACTCCAAACTCAATAAATGCATTTTAATTAGACATTCTCTAGTGATACTTCATAAAATGTATTTATAAATGAGCTGTAAACATTCTGGGATTGCATTATGCACAACTGTGTCTTCTAGAAGATGTCTGGGCTGAGAGTTCGGACACTAAAGGGAGCAGCAGCTGTGTGACGGTTCACAGTCAGTTCTACTTCACCAACACCACCAACTCCTTCAACGTGCTGCAGGATTGTGGGAACTGCTCCAGGTGTGTGTGTGTGTGTGTGTGTGTGTGAAATTCATTTGTGCATATTTACGTACTATTTTCCCAACACAAACTCTCTTTCTGTCAGGTTGTTCCACGCCAAGCGTATAGAAAACACGAACCTGTTGTTTGTGGTGGCTGAGACTCTGCCCTGCAGCTCCTGCGAGATCGAGAAACTCCTCCCTGTCAGAACAAAGTGTATCCTTCCTTCCCATAATCCTCTGCTCACAAAGCAACACTAACAGATACTGATCTGCTTTTATCCCTGAAATAGTTCTTTCAGCTGTCATCTGTGTTTGAATGATGGATAGATGACAGACGGAGCTTGTGGCGTTTCCTTAATTGTTATTCTCCAGCTCAAGAAGAGAATCCATGTGAGGTGTTAAACTCCGCCCGCTATCGGAAAGGCCCTGACAAATGCTTCGACTACAACACAGAGGTGAAGCGCTGTCTGTTGCTCTGATCAAACACAGTTTGTTTGCTTCTATAAATGATGTTTTGTAGACAACATTCCTACAACCATCCAGAACACTTGAGCAATCACATAGCAACATCCTGGCAGAACAGCCTAGCAGCAACATAGCAACCTTCTGCCAACTGCCCACAACACCCTAGCAGCCACATGGTCAAACAGCCAAAACCCTCAAGCAATCACATAGAAATGTCGCGCCAATTACGTCCTGGCAATTACTTAGAAAACTCAAGTAATCGCATAGTAATGTCCTGGCAACTATCCTGAACACCCTAGCAATCGAATAGCAAATTCCTGGCAACCACCCAGAGCACCTATTAACCACATAGCAACATCCTGGCAATCACCCAGAACACTTGGGGAATCGCGTAAATATGTCCTGTCAACTACTCAGGATAACCTAACAGCTGCATAGCAGCTTCTTGGCAGCCACTCTGAGCACTCGAAAAACTGCATAGCAACATCTTGCCAACCATCCAAAGCGCTCAAACAGTCGCATAAAAATGTTCTGTCAACTACTCAGAAGACTCTATAAACCACATAGGAACATCCTAACAACTACCAAGAACTCTCAAGCAATCACATAGCAACATCCTGGCACCACTCAGAGCACCCTAGCAACCGCATAGCAACATCCTGGCAACCACCCAAAAAAACACTTAAGCAGTTGCATAGGAATGTCCTGTCAACTACCCAGAACAATTTAGAACCCTTATAACAACATTTTGACAACCGCCCAGAACGCCCTAGCAACTGCATAGCAACATCCTGGCACCTACCAAGAAAACATTAGAAGCCACATTTGTCCTGGCAAGCACATAGCAACATTCTGCCAATCGCCCAGAACACTTTAGAAACCGCATAGCAACCACCCAGAACACTTGAGAACTAAATAGCAACATTGCGACAACCACCTAGAACACCTTAGCAACTGCATAGTGACACCCTAAGCAACTACAAAGAACTCTCAAGCAACCACATCTGGGTAAAACACCTACAGACATCCTAGCAACTACCAGGAACACTCGAACATCCACATAGCAACATCCTGGCAACCACCCAGAACTCTCAAGCAATTGCATAGGAATGTCCTATCAACTACCCAGAATAATTTAGAAACTGCATAGCAACGTCCTGGCAACCACCCAGAACACCATAGAAACCACATAGCATCATCCTAGCAATTGGAACAACTTAAAACTACATAGCAACACCCTAGCAACCTGTGAAAAAATAACTTGGCTATGTTTATGGTGCGTCTATAGTCAATTTTAACCTAGCCGTTTTCTGTTTCTCTGTTTCCGGCAGGAGAACACGTCGGAGTGTGGCAGCGCTCACTCTTTATACTGTCCGATGCGAGTTCTGCTCTGGATTCAGTTATTGTCGCTTTACCTCATTCTACTATCGTAATCTGAGTCCCACTGCCTTCGGTGTTCCTGTCCCTCATCCGTACGCCACTCCGGTCCTGGTTTTCCGGCTCTCTGTCTCATCGTGAGGTGCATTCCAGCTGTGTGCCATTACAGCAGAGCATGATGGGAAAACATGTCTTTGTAACCCCGACATTGTGCAGATCCCAAAAAAACAAAACTGTCTTAAATCATTTCACCTTTATATTCGTAAAACGTCCAAAAAAAGTATTTTTGCTCGCCAAAAACAGGAAAGGACCTGGTTTGTTTCAAAATACTGGAACACGACACGAGTTTTGACGGTTATTATCACAATCTCGCATTGTGTGTTTATTTGAGTCTTGCTTCGTTCTCGATTTAGTGCCAAACCCTGACGTATGTGAATGCTCAAACGCTGGGGACTCGCAGCTTTCATTGAAATATTGTTTTTTGAAGCTTCCTTACCAAGAGAGAATGTTGTATTATTATCGCAAACGGCTTCGTTTAGGAAAAAAGAAAAAGATTTAGATTTTGTTTCGTGTTCATTTAGAGCTTTTGACGAAAGTTTTAAGGGCATATATTGTGTCTAAAAATTGCTGCCTGGTTTGTTACCCAACAGTGCCTTGGCGCACTTGTCCGAATGGACCAACAATAGCACTGGACGTGGATTTGACTAACCCTGAATGAATGCTGGAGAAATATACGGTATTGAATGTTTACAGTATAAGGGTGAATGTCATGAAACCTGGCAAAAGTTCATATTTCACCCCAAAATCAAAAGATATAAATAGGAAATGTCACATAAAGAAAATGAAGCACATTTTTAGGACCATTAAGATTTCAAAAGCACATTTTCCCTCCAAATCTCATTACCGTAATGCGAAAAAACACATTTTCTTATTACTGTAATGTGGGGATAAAAATATTTTAACAATATGGTAGCATTTGTTACACTGCCTTAATTTATGATTATTCAAATAGTAAAAAAAAAACATTAAAATAATGTCACAATGCAAAAAAAATAAATAATCCAATGTTCCTACAAATACCCTTCATTTTCTTTTTAAGAGTTTTGGGGTATTTTTCTGTTGATTTTGGGGTGTTTCTCGTGAGACTCGCCCGTGCACGTATTTTGGCGTTCAGTATGGGTTTATTACACTTATTCTACTGGTTCTGTCTTTAGAAAGTCACTCAAATGGTTTTATCTTTTTCTGATGTAAATATGATTATTCCACACTTGATCTAGTTCAGTGTGTTTTAATGAAATGGAATGCAAGCTGATGTTTCAATGTCCCGCTGCATGCTGGGAAAAATGATAACTGCTATTAAACTTGATGATTTTAGAACATTTACTGGAAGGACAGTCGACCCTTCGAGCCGTTGAACGGACCAACTTTATCTTCTTAATGAGTCCGTAGATATTATCCAAGGGTCGACATGTATTTATTTTGATTTAATTTAAAAGATACGGTGTGTATATTGCTTGCGAAATGTATCAAGTGTGAATTTTGAGACGCTTTCATGCTTTTATTGAAATGTTTTGGATTTTATCGCAGATGTTTTGTTGCTTTTCAGTGATTATATATAACATTTTAAAGGTACATTTAGCCAAAAAAAATTTGTTTGTTGTATTTCATCTTTTAACATGGCCACACTTCCAAAACAAACGTACTTCCAAATGAATGGGTCGAGATTCTTCTGAATTGAACTGAAAGGGTTTCTTCGCTTGACGTATTTTGTATCGTAATGGCTTGAGCAATACTTTGAATTATGTCAACTACGCTGAAATGCAAGTGAGCGCTACTGAATTAGTGTAAAGAGAGCATGAAATCAGTATTGAGCCGCTTTCTTTGGATGACTTTGATTCAGGCTTGTCTTTGAATATCGGCTTAATGTTTGTATGTGAGCTATGAGCGTTCTAACAGTATTATTTCATGCCAATATAAGAGTATTTATACTATTGTCTTTATGTAAAAAATTCTCAGTGTTACGATGAACTTAATGATGTGAATAGGAATGTTTTCATTCTTTTTTTTGTTTGTTTTTTATTTCGTTCTGCAGATGTTTGTTAACTATGTGAAAGGGTTTTTCCTCCCTTTCTGCGGTCTTCCATATCACTTCATTTTGTACAGATGGCACAAATCTGTCATGAAAGGCTAACTTTGTATCATATTGTGTCATTCGCTTCTGGGAGATGTTTATAAGAGAATTGGTGAGATAAAGACATTCATATTTTTCACGTCAACTGGGTATGGATTTTAATTTTTTACTCCAGAAATATGTATTTGATAATGAAAGAGAACAGCAGGTTTTTATTACAGCAGTAAAACAGCTGCAAGTAATCATATTTTATGATTACTTCCTGTGGTGAGCTAGGCTTGAGGCTTTACTCGGCTGCTTCCTTGCTCTGTAAAGAAAAAGAAATATTTCAGTTATTCATATTTTTAATTTTCGTATTTTTTATTTATTTGTGCATCAAAGTATTTGTTTTTCATTTATATTTGAGATATTTGTAAATGAGATTTTTTTAAATATTTATAATTCGATTGTTATTTATTAAAGTATTTAGTTATATAAGTATTTGTTTGAGATTAGAGACAGCAGGTGGCGCTCACGGCTCTTGGCTCCTGGGACTCCTGAGCTTCCTCCAGCTCATGCTGCACCTTCCTGTACCTGCTCACTCTCTTCAAGTTCCCTGGAAAGATCAGCTCTCTGCTTCTCTACTTTAGCACCAGCAGCTCGCTCGGCCTCCTCTTCCAGCTCCTCGGTACGGGCCTATGAGAATAATGCAAATGAAACAGAAATTCTGCTACATCATTTTAAATAGAAACCATTTGACCTTAAGTTCTTTGATCTTCTTCTGAAGCTGTGATCCCAAAGACTGCTCATCGTCAATCTTGCTGAGTAGCTGACTCGTCTCAAAGTCCTTCCTGTTTTTAAACACACGTGTCTTGTGAAATGTGCGTTTACACTTGTACCTGGCACAATGTCGCTCACTTTTTGATCTTCTCCTCTGATTGCTGTTTGTCATTCTCCAGGTCCATTATGAACTCCTGGGCCAGTTTCAGATCACCCTCAGGCTTCCGCTTGGCTCTCTCATGGTCCATACCATCATCCACTTGCTGCTCAAGTTTTGTCTTGGATTTAGACAAAGTGTTGACTGTCTTCCTCTGCTTGTAGGTCATCAAGAGTCTGCTGGTGTGCCTCTTGGAGGGCTTTTTTTCTCTCTTTTGTCAGTTTGGCAATTGCTTCATCTTGGGAGGCCATCTCTTCAATTACTGTTGGCTATGTTAGCATGTGCATTGGCGCTTTGGTCACAAACTCATTCCCAACCTTCACTCTGGGGTAGCACAGAGCTTACAGCATGTCCGCAGAGTTCAGGCCCATGAGGTAAGCGATTTTATCAGCCACTGAGGAGAAAATTACCAGATTGTTTGGCATGGAACTTATTTAAGAAGAGCCGAAGTAACTTACAGTACACTTAATCTCAGTGACAGTGCCCTGGAGTAACCTAATATGTTAGGTGCTTTGCATGAGGAAACAATAGTGATGGTTCAAACCTTATAGCCTTTTGGTTACAGTGCTGATCTTCAACCAGTAAGCCACAACAACAGTTTACACTTAGGATCTCACTAATAGTCTTACCCTCGGTGCCATCAGGTTCAGCGTGTTCCTCTCTCTGCTTCTGCTTGAACTTCATGTTTCCATGCTGCATCACAGCACCTGTCAGCTTGTAGATGCTTATTTTTTCTCCAGCGCTGAAGCCCAGAATATCAATAGCAGTCTTTTTTTATACCAAAAACAAACACACATTAGAGATGCATCTGTATTATCTCCTGCAGTGTTCTTTTTTCTGTTAAATGGATTTCTGCTCATAATCAATGAATTAAAGACTAGTTATGCAGTTGTCCACGTACATGTGTGGCAATGAACTCCTCTACGTCATTGATACTCTTGGCTGATCATGGGATAGTCGTAAGGATTGGTGGTGACAAGCAGGGCCTCTGTAAAACATCAAATTCAATGTTAATCGCTTTCTAAGAAATGATAGTACTGTGTTATGTGTTTTAAGAAGAGTTTTGCTCGAAGTCCATATCCGTAAGCTTTGAGGCCACCAACTAGCAATACCAAGTAGCAAACTGTGTTTTTGGTTGGATTAAAGCTTGTACATTATTTCTTTACTTGACCATCAATTGGTTGAGAAGTGCCTGGAGTTTATTCATTTTTAAAGTGTCTTGTTGCTTTTAAATCTGTTTTTATCCAGACTGTAACTTAAAATTATAGCAAAAGCTAATGGTCATTGGCAATAAGACTGCTCATCAGACGTTTCATTGGGTTTTTACACCCCCCAAAAAACTAAAAACCTGTAGATTTCTCACCGAGCAGCTCTGGCTTGTGTAGAAGATATGGTAGCTCCTCTCAGCAGACAACTGGCATGTTACTCTTGACGTTTCCAGCAGATCTTTGATATAAAACATCGACTTTGAATATGCAGTTCATGGCATCCCAACTAAAAAACATATTTGTCTCAAAACAGCATGACTCACAAGTTTCAATATCAGCTGAAGCTGAATTTACCCTAAGGAGATAGAAATGATTCAGAACTTTCCGCAGATGTCTAACAAAATGCAAACGAGAAGAGTTGTCATTCCTCACAGTCTTGGCATTACCATAAGCCTCCAGCAGAGGTGTTGGCAGCAATGATTTGATCCTCTAGCGACCCCTGGTGGGCATTCAAGTAAGTTCATGCGTGTAGAATAGTTCTTTACACTTATACTGTTTCTTTAGTGTAGCCACCTGCATTTCGCCTGGGACGGGTTCTGCCTTCTTCTGTCCAGACACTGCAATATAATAATTAATATATCAAATATTTTGGTCTTGTAGGAATACCATGCCCAACAAGACCAGGGACATATTTTACAAAAGCCAATAAGGTCAGTTTTGATTTCATGTTGATTTTAAAGCTGCACATTCAGACAGATGTAAATATTGAACAGCTGAACTGGTAGGAGGTGTCAGAGATGGAGAAGATGTGGGCGGGGCTTCAGTCCTCTTTTTGCCTCTGTATCCGGTCACAACAATTGCGTCGTACACCGGTTGTGGCTAGGAGGGATACAGCTCAGACGCGGAAACGAACAATGAAATTAATTTTCTACCGATTAGATTGTGTTTTATTAACGTCTACACCTACCCCAACCCTAAACCTACCCCTTACAATAATGAAAAAATAGTAATTATTGTTGTACAGTGTGACAAAAATTACGCTGTATTGATGTGCGCATGCCCAGTAGCACCATACGTATCCCTTCTAGCCTTAACCGACTAATCACAGTCGTTTGTAATCGCTGGGAAACCTCGTACACCGGCAGCTACTTGTAGGGATTGACACTGACACAGAATTCAAGCCGGAGTAGGTCTGAAATGGAGATGCAACGTCTAAATTTGTTGCCACCCTTTATTCCCATCACTCTTTATTTCCAAGAATACAATATAATGTGCTTAGACTTACATAGATCATCTATGCTGCGTAACGCTCTTTGAGGTTATACAGCACAGCGGGCTCATTGAGGTGCGTCATCATGGCCATGTCTTACATTTTGTCAAAAATGTGTGGGTTCACTGGAAAGATTTCATTTTCTTGACAATATTTTATAACTCAACAGTTTATTTGGAATATGATGATTACATGGATGCTGCATTATTCCAATAGCAGTCTACTTTTTGGACTTTCTTTCCCACACAGGGTTTTGACCGTATCCTTGCCACCTTCTTTACTAACAAGATACCTTTCAGGTACATGTTCTCAGGTTCTGACACAAAGTGGGCTGTTTTGGCGTCAAACGGGGTGTTTTGAGCCTCGATCCTCTCCTTTTCTGGCTTCTGAAGGTAAATGGCCGCCGGGCCAAAAAACTCCATTTCACCATCTCCCATGATGGAGTATTTCTGTTCAGGAATAAGAAATATGATTTTATGAACACATTTTCCCATATTTAAGAGTGTTTAAGTTCTTATTTACCTTATTTCAGTGCCCTAGAGCAGAG